ATAAAATGACTTACCACTACCTGCAACTGTAGGGGGCAGGATGATTGAAGGATACACACCTGTAGTCCCAGTGACTCAGGAGGAGGCAGGAGAATTGCAAGTTCAAGGCCAGGCTGGGCAATTTAGAGAGACTCTGTTATTTTTTATTGTTTTTAAAGGGCTGGGGATAATGCTTAGTGGTAGAGCACTCCTGGGTTCAATCCTCAGTCCCCCCAACCCACTGAAAAGTAAACACATTCCCTTCTGTTTGAATGTTGGACTTTATCATATGCCTTTCTCTGTTCATTTATGTGATTATTTTATATGTCTTTTGCTTATCAATGGGAATAATTATATTGATTTTCAAATGTGACCCAGCTTTAATTTCTGGACTAATGATTTTTTATACACTATTGGATTCAATTTACAAATGTCTTGTTAAGGGTTATTTTGAGAAATAATCTGTAGTTTTCCTTTCTTGTAATGTCTGTATCTGGTTTTGGTATTAGGGTAATGTTCACTTCATACAATGAGTTAGGGTGTGTTACCTCTGCTTCTGTTTCCTGGAAGAGAGTGTAGAGAATCAGTAACATTTATTTCCCCAGTTCTGATAATGTTCACCAGTGAAACCATCTGGGCCATCTGGTGCTTTCTGTTTAGAAATGTTGTTGATTATTTATCTGACTTCTTCCTTTTAATGTCCAAGGGATCAGTAGTTATATCTCCTTTCATTTCTACTGTTAGTAATTTGTATCTCCTCTTAATCCCCCCACCTTTGGTTAGTCTAGCTACAGGTTTATCAATTTTACTTATTTCAAAGAATGAGCATTTTATTTAACTGATTTTTCATTATTATTTTCCAGTTTTCAATTTCATTGTTTTCTGTTCTAATTTTTATTATATTCTTCTGTATTCTTTGTTTGTATTACTTTTCTTTCAATATTTCTCCAACAGAAGCTTGAAAGATTATTTTAGATATTTTTTCCTTTCTAATATAGCATTTGCTGCTGTAAATTTTCCTCTGAACACTGTTTTCACTGACTGCTGTAAATTTTAGTAAGTATTTTCAGCTCAAAAATCTTAATTTCACTGGAGTTTTCTTAACCATTTATTATTTATAAATGTCATATTTAATCTCCAATATTTGTGGACTTAAACTATCTGTTGTTTATTTCTGGTTTGATTCTATTGTGGTTTAAGAGCTTAGTTTGTATGTTAGAGAACATACAAATATATTTTTCTGCTCCATGTGAGTTTGAAGAAAAATGTCTATTCTAGTATTGTTGGATGAATAGCCCATAAATGTCATTTAGAGCCTGTTGACTGATGGTGCTGTTTACTTCATCTGTATCCTTCCTGATTTTCTGCCTCCTGAATCTGTCAGTTGCTGACAGACTTTTGAAGACACCTTGCAGTTCTATCAATTTTGCCTCATGTTGTTTGACACTCTTGTTAGGCACAGACATACTAAGGATTGTTAAGTTTTCCTGGAGGATTAACCACTTCATTATCTCATACATATCCCTGATAACTTTACTGTTCTACAGTCTGCTTTGTTTAAAAGTGCTATAGCTTTCCCTTGATTTGTGTTAGCATAGTATATTTTTCTCTTGCCCATTGATACTGCTTTTTTTTTTTTTTTTTTTTTTTTTGGTGCTGGGGATCACCACATATGAATATACATGCTAGGCAAATGTTCTACCACTGAGCTACATTTTCAGCCCAGGTGTCTCTATATTTAAAGTACTTTTATTGTAACAGATACTTGGATCTTATTATGTACTTTGTCAGTCTTTTTTGACTGGTAACTTTGTAGTTTGCTATCTGATTTTTTTTTTTTTTTTGGTACTGGGAATTGAACTCAGAGCGTTCTACTACTGAGTGATATCCCCAGCCCTTTTTATCTTGATCTTTTTCTTTTTAGTTTTTATTTTGAGATAGGGTCTTGCTAAATTGCCCAGGCTGGTCTTGAACTTGTCACCTTCCTGACTCAGTCTCCTGAGTACCTAGCATTATGTGCATGTGCCACCATGCCAGGCAGAACTTTGATATTTAAAGTAATTTTATTGATAATGTTAGATTAATATCATATATAATGGTTATATATTTATAGAATTTTTTAAACCTTTGTCTCTTACTGCCCTAATTGTAATTTCACATTTTTAGTGGTTCTATTTTCTCTTCTCTCAGTGAATAAATTATATTTCTTTTAAAAAATTTAGTGGTTTTTCTATGATTTTAGGGTATATTTACAACTGACCTAAGTCTGTTGTTATTTTGGTGAGGTGCTGGGGATTGAACCCAGGACCTTGCACATGCTAGACAAGCATTCTACCACTGAGTCCTTTTTAATTTTGAGATGGGATCTCACTAAGTTGCCCAGGCTGGCCTCAAACTTGCAATCTTCCCACCTCAGTCTCCCATGTAGGTGGGATTTCAGGGATGTACCACCATGCCATGCTTAAATTGTTTTTCAACTATATTGTACCACTTCATGGGTCACACAGATACCATTTAAATGAGTATTCATAATCCCTCCCTTCAGTTCCTTATAACATTGTGACATTCATTTCACTCATCCATATGCTCAAATCATCCAATATGTTGTTAATATTATCACATTAGCAGTTATCTACTCAAGCAATTAATAGAAAGATTTAAGGTTTTCTTTTGCCTTCGCTTATTCCTTCTCTAATTACTCTTCCATTCTTTACATAGACCCAAATTTCTGACCTATATCATTTTCTGCCTCTGTCAAAAGAATATCTTTTAACATTTCTTGAAAGGAAGGTCTACTGGCAACAAATTCCCTCTGTTTTTGTTTGAGAAATTCTTTATTTCTTCTTCACTTTTGAAGGAAAAATTCACTGAATACAGGATTCTAGGTTGGTGGGTCTTTCTTTCAACACTGAATATTTTACTCCACTCACTTAATGCTTGCTTTTTATATGACACAAATTCCAATATATTTCTCCTCCTCGTTACTTTATAGGTAAGGTGTTTTCTTTTTCTTTTTTTTTGATGTTACTAGGTAAATTTTTTTTTTTTTTTGAGAGAGAGAGAGAGAGAGAGAGAGAGAGAGAGAGAGAATTTTTTAATATTTACTTTTTAGTTCTTGGCTGACACAACATCTTTGTTTTTGTATGTGGTGCTGAGGATCGAACCCGGGCCGAACGCATGCCAGGAGAGTGCGTTACCACTTGAGCCACATCCCCAGCCCACTAGGTAAAATTTTTAATTTTATATTGTGCTTAGTGTCCTCTAAGTTCCTGGATTTGTAGTTTGCTATCTGCAATTAAATTTGGAAAATTCCCAACTTCATTATTTCAAAAATGCCTCTCCTCTGTATCCCTATTATACCTATTCATTTTATGCCTTTTGTAGATGTCTTACGGTTTTGGATATTCTGTGAGGTATTTCTTTCTTTCTTTTTCCTTTTGTATTTCAGTTTTGGAAGTTTCTACTGACATATCCTCAAACTCACATTCTTTCTTCAGCCATATCCAGTTAACTAATGAGATTATCAAAAATATCTTAATAGCTACTAGTTTTTTTAAAAAATTTTCAGCATGCCTTTTGCTTTGCCTTAGAGTTGCAATACATTTTCCCATAAGAGTTCTTAATGTATTAATATTATTTTAACTTCATAGTATGATAACTCCAAAATTGTTGCCATATCTGAGTCTGGTTCTATTGTTCTCTTTTCTCTTTGGATTGTTTTTTTCTTGCCTTTGGCATGCCTTATAAATATTTGTTGAAAACAGACATATGATGTATTAGGTAATAGGAACCAAGGTTAGGTGGCTCTCATGGGATGTCTGGGACTAAATGTACGTTCACTGCTGTAGCTGTGTAACATGGAGTTAGGCAGTTAGACAATGAACGTTTTGTGAATTTGAGGAATGAAATCCAGGAACATAAGGGTGACAGCAAAGTAACAGGATTTATTAAAGTAACAGAAAGAAAGGAGAGCTCCCAAAAGGGAGGGGCCCCCATGAGAAGTTTGCCAACAGTGACTGTTGTCTAGGGGTTTTAAAGACATATCTGATGGGTGGGATGAGGGATGCCAGCATGGACCAATCAAGCTCTTCAAGCTCCAAGCTTAATAAGCCAATCAGAAGTCCATGATTTCAATCTTTTATTTACATAATTAAGAGGACAGGTCTCACCTAGTGTTTTTTGACACATTTATTATAAATAGGAAGCATTTGGGGTAGAGGTCTGCTTGTGGTCTGCTGTTGCTAGGGGTAAGGGCAAGGGTAGCTGAAGAAAGGCTGATGTGGCTGCAGCTGTGAGGAACATAGACAGGTATCCTAGTCAGAACATGGCTTTGTGGTTAATGCTGGCAGGGAGCAGCAAGTCACAGGATGTTTCTTAGACTTACGTCTCTTTTCAGGTTAGTGTGGTATCCCCCTTCCCTTATTTCCTTCTCTAAGGCCTTTATCCTGGCTGCCTGTGGGAAATCTATCTTCTTGCCTCAGCTATAGGTATTCGAGGTTTCAATTTCTTCTAGAGTCATTGTTTTTATCACCAGCCCCAAATGTTCTTAAATATAGTCTGAGCCTTAAAGTTCTTTCAACTGTCATCCTTTTAGCACACAGGGGTCCTGTTTTCATTGTGGTAAAGTGTTGGAGAGCAGAGTCATTCTATACTCCTATGATTAGGTCCCTTTTTTTTTTTTGTGCTGGGGATTGAACCCACCAGGGCCTGGAGCAGGGCACTACCTTGTGTGTGGGGTGTGTCCCCTTGTGAATCTAGCCTCAGGCCCAACAAAGACTCCAGCCAGCAACCCCATGGTGCCCAGCTCATTCTCTCTCCCCTGTTTCTCTTTCTCATTTCTAGGGTTCTACCAAGTCCATCTCTGACCAGTTGGTCACCTTCTCCAATGTCACCTTCCAGAAGAGTGGTGGAAAATGTCCCAAGGAGGCAGCCATCTTGGTGGAGACACAGAACCTCAGCAATGGCAGGGTTTTGGACCTTCATCTACAAAATCTTTGTGTTGTTGCTAAAGAAGAAGGTGATCATTCCTCAACCTGATGCAGATTGTGGCAGCCAGTACACAGGGGTCCACTGGCTGGAGGAGGAGCCTCCAAAATCTCACCAGTGTGGGGGACCTCCTGAGCCCTGGCCCTGGTGGAATCAAACTCTGGGGCCACAGTGTTAGCACTGGAGATCACCAGACACAACACTGTCTGGAACCAGGATGGAGCTGCCAGAGAAAAGGGCCTTGGGAAGGAAGCAGATGGCCAGGCCTGGCCCAACGCTGCAGAACCAGAACCAAAGACTCCCCTCCTAGAGTTAAAACTAGGATAGTGCCAGAATTTAAGTTTGTAATGAATCTTTTAAATTATTTTTAAAAATGCTTTATTTTAACCTTTAAAAATTGGAATAGTTACATTTGGAACACTTTCCATATCCATCATTTTTTAGATATTAGAAGCTGGTATTAATCCTAAGAGGAAGTTTAACTCTGGGAAGTGTCTCATTTATAGTAGTTTCAATGTGAAAAAGAAATAGTATTATATATGAGTTTTGGCTCATGTCAATACACTGATAAGCTGAGATGTCTTAGTATCTGATGTGATCGTGGTCTCACCAGGAAAGGCAAGTATTTGTCATCTTTTGAAACACCATCTGTGAAACACATGCTGCCATGTTTGCAGAGACCCACATTTATGCTTGCATCTTTTTTGTGTGATGCCTATTTTTAATTTGCATAATTTGCTTTGGCTTTTCATAGCCTTTTTTTATTTGATGGAACTGTTTGCATTGACCATAAATTATAAATAAAAAAGAACTGTGTAAAATAAATAAGTAGCTAAAAGAAGAGCTCATTTCCTTTGGAAGGGAGTTGGGAATGGTAAAAGTCTAGAGAGGGGAGCTCCTGGCCTTGGCAGTGGAATGTTCATGGTGAGAGGCAGTTTCCTGCCCTCCATGGCCAGGAGAATGGAGTACTTGCCACTCCTCTAAGCCTTCCTTCAAAGAATCACAAGAAGTGGAGCCTAGCATCTGGTTGGATAGGCTCAATGATTCTTCCAGAGAAGAGAAAACTGGGGGATGTGATCTTTGGACAGATGTGGGAAGCCGCCACGCCATGTGACCAGCATTTTCCTTCCCTGATTGGTTAGGCTCTGTCTGTTATTTCCCCGTGATCTGGCCACATCAAGTGGCCCTAGATGGCGCCCAATCTTGGAAGTCATAAAAATGTAGCAAAGGTGTCTTCATGCATAGGCCTGCCTTCCTACAGTCCCAGGGGTCGAGTTACCTTACCTGTCCTGTAACCCCACCTCTCTTGATCTTTATTGGATGGAAATTTCTAAAGAATGAGAGTCCTGTGCTAGCTCATGCTCGCATGACACGTGTCTCTCTCTCTCTCTCTCTCTCTCTCTCTCTCTCTCTCTCTCTCTCTCTCTCTCTCTCCAGCTTCTTGTGACATCCCTCGCTCTCCCATTTGGGGAGCTTGAGGCGAGGGCAGAGAAGCCGTCCTGGGGCTTGAATTAAAAGTAAATTGTATCTGTGTTTTATTTTGGTACCTTAGGAAATCCACTTAAGCGACCCTTAGTTGGCTGCCCATGCTGGTCAGGGACAGTAGACAGAGACTGCCCACCTCCCATTCACCACACACGAGTTTCCCGTAGAAAGCCATTTGGCTGTGTTCTTCTCAAGCATGCTGTCTGCCAGATGAGAGGAGTGTGAGAGTGTCCTGGCAGAAACAGAATGGAGCAGCGGGGTTACAAGTTCAGCCAAAGCTGGGGAACTGAGGAATGGGGAGAACTCAGGGGAGGTTGTGACTATATCATGTTCTACATCTTTCCTTCTTGTCTCTGTTAAAGGAGCAGCAGAAGCCTATCAGAGGGGGAAGAGGGCCTCCTCTCCACAGCAGACTCTCATGCCATGGAATTAGAATTGCATATAAGATCAGAGTTTGCAAACTGGATGGATCACTTAGTAATTAAGAGTCATATGAATACTATGGGGCTCTGCCCAAGTTGCTGCTGAGAGACAAAGAAGAAGGAGACAGAGCTCATCAAAGGCAGTGATTTGAAAATAGAAAGGATTAAAAACATGTCCTTATTTCATAGTATTAAGACTACCCCATCAAGTGTTTTTAACTTTATACTTTAAAAAGTCTTTCTTATGATGGTTTCCACTGGCATGAAGCAGATTAAAAGGAAGCATGTGCTTTACTGTTTTAAATACAATAATGTTCTTGGTAGAAATTTATGTGCACTAAATAAATTTATAGTCCCATAATATGAATAAAGCATGGCTTGTTTATACTTGTTCTCCTGATAGCAAGTATGTGGTTCCAACCTCTGCTCTTTATATGGCTGCAATGAACATCCACATATCCTTAGGTACTGATACAAATATTTCTGTAGAACAGGTTCTTAGAAGTGGAATTATTTGGATTCAAGGATGTTTGCATTTGTACATAACAAATCCCAATATTATGCATACTTATACCAATAAAAATAAATTAAAAAAATAAAAAAGACACTTGTAGACATTACCAAAATTGACCTCAATTTGCATCAGTTTATAAGCCAATAAAAAATGTGTGGGAGTGATACATGGGGAATCTTTGTTTTTTTAGTGACAATTTCCCTGTGGTGCCAATAATAACAGGACGTTGCTTCACTGTGGAGATTTTAGCTTTGCTAGTCATTGAGTTGGACAAGTCATTGACTCTGGACAAGCAAAGGAAGCCTTGCAGCCAGATACATCACAGGTTTATATAGTCATCTCTCAGTATCTGCAGGGGTATTGTTGCCAGAATTCTCCTCACCTTCCCAAGGGTACCAGAATCTGCCCAAGTTCAAGACCCTTATGTAATATAGCATAATATTTGCATACAACCTACTCATGTCCTTCAACATACTTTAAGTTGTCTCTTATTTATTTATTTTACAATATTTTTTAGTTGTAGATGGACACAATATCTTTATTTATTTATATGGTGCTGAGGATTGAACCCAGTGCCTCACACATGGCAGACGAGCACTCTACCACTGGGCCACAACCCCAGCCCCTGTATTTATTTATTTTTATGTGGTGCTGAGGATCGAACCCAGGGCTTCACGTGTGTGAGGCAAGTACTTTACCACTGAGCTACAACCCCTGCCCACTCTCAATTATTTAAAATACCTAATGATGGAAATTCTATGTAAACAGTTACACTATAGTGCTTAAAGAATAACAACAAGGAAACAAATTTACATGTTAAGTACAGATGCATTTATCAGATTTTTTGATCTGTTTGGTTGAATCTGCAGATATGGGATCTGCAGACACAGAGAAGTGCCTGTATTTTGTAGACTGGATGGAGATTCATACACAATTGCTGTGTTCACCCTTTTCTAATTTTGAGGAATATCTGCATGGGAAATGGGAGCAGTTGGGAGAACTAAACGCACCATGTCCTGTTTTTAGAAATTTATCTAAGAGTTATGGAGCACTTGCTGAAGAGACTTGGGTTCTTACTTAGGCCTGGGTGGCCTCCAGCATGGTCTTCGCAGTTCACAAAATGTGTAGCTTCCAGCTTGAAAGTTGGGCTTCCCCATTATTGAAAATAGACTAATGATACCATTGGTTATTTAAAAAACAATTCAATATTGTCTTTTGTATCCACTATGTGTTTGCTTTTCCTATTAAAATGTGAAAATGATCCTAAAGGAGTAATGTTTACATAGGGTCAGGAAACATTATTTTTGAAATATGCACTGCATTATTATTTTTTATAGTTACCATTCTGTATGATAAATCAGTGAACTTATTTACCCTGATCTACCTAAAATTTTATACTCTTTGGTCAATATTTCCCCTTTCCCCAGCCAATGCCACCCTGGCTTCATCATCCATCATCCAACTGTCTCCTATGAGTTCAACTTTTTTAGATTGTATATATTGGTGAGATTATATGGTATTTGTCCCTCTGTGCCTGGCTTATTTCACTTAGCATATTGTTTTCCATATTGTATACACACACACACTGTTCATCTGTGTTATCACAAATAACAGAATCCACCCTGTGTTTATGTATTATTTACTTATTTTTCCATACTAGGGATTGAACTTAGGAACACCACTGAACCACATACCCAACCCCGGTGTTATTTCCTTATTTTTGAGACAGGGTCTGCCTTCGAATTTACAATCCTTCGGCCTCAGCCTCCCAACTCAATGGGGTTACAAACATACCATCATGCCCTAATTATCTTCCTTTTTTTTTTTGATAATAGACATTTTAACAGTGTGAAACATCTTATTGTGGTCTTAATTTGCATTGCCCTGGTGATTAGTGATGATGAACATTTTTTTTAATGTGTCTGTTGGCCATTTATGTTTGTATGTCTTGTTTGAAGAAATGTCTTTAATTTCTTTGCTTTTTTGCTGGAAGTGTCACTGGGAATTGAACATAGGGCTTTATTACTCACGCATGCTAGGCAAGTATCTACCATGGATCTACATTCCCAGTTCTTTGGCCATTTTTGGATCATTATTTATTTTGTTGCTATTAAGTTGTTCAAGTCTATTATATATTTTGAATATTCATCCCCTAACACATAGTTTGCAAATATTTTTGCTCAATCCATGTGTTGTTTCTTCATCCTGTTGTTTATTTTGCTGTGCTGAAGCTTCTTTGATGCAATGCCTTTGTTTATATTTATTATTGTTCCCTGTGTTTTTGGCCTATATATAAGTAGTCTTTGCTCAAACCAATGTCATGGAGCAATTCCTCTGTTTTATTCTAGAAATATTACAGTTTCAGGTCTTATGCTTAATTCTTTAACCCATTATAAGAACTAAATTCATATATATTTTAAAAATAGAGAAGAAATAAAAAAAAAAAACCTAACAATCACCATTTTCTTATCCAAAGAAAATCACTTAACTTTTAGGTTTATCCTTCCTTCTCTCCACCCTGCCACTGCCAACTGTTTTAATCTGAAAAATTTCAAACCTACAGCAAAGCTGCATGAGTAGTGCAACAAACATCTGTACACTATTTGCCTAGATTGACTAAGTGTTATTTTGTCATATTTGTTTTATCTTTTTCTGTGTGTGTCTGTGTGTATCTTCCCACTTAGTCACTTGAGTCAGTTGCAGTTATTGTGATTTATCTCTAAAAGCTTCAGCATATTTGATAAAAACAAGAAGTCTTCTGAATAACCATAGCACAAATGTCTCACTCAGAAAATTAATATTCACTTAGTAATTTAAAGTTGTTATTTCATTTTCCTTAGTTGTCAAATTAATGCCTTTTTATGCTAAATTTAACCACTTGCTTAGTCTGTCAGATTACCATCACAAAGGTAACCATTCCCTTTAAATTTATAAAAGTTGTGCAAATTTACTATTTTAAGACAGAAAATACATTGTTCTCCAAAAGCTTTTACCCCACAGTTTTAGGATTCACTGGTGATTTTTATCTACCTTAATTATTTCCATGGTGTTGTGAACTGTTTAGGGTCCTCTCTCTCCTTTTACCTCTTTCAGCTAAATTCCAACTCTTTAAAAAAAAAAAACCAAAAACTTCCTAGTGGTGTGCAGTGGTGAATGCCTATAATCCCAGTGGCTTGAGAGGCCAAGGCACAAGGCACCCAGCAAATCAGTGAGATCCTGTCTCTAAATAAAAAAACAAAATAGGGCTGGGGATATGGCTCAGTGGTTGAATGCCCCTGGAGTTCAATCCCCGATACCAAAAAAAAAAAAAAAAAAAAAAAAAAAAAAAAAAAAAAATCCTGTTTTTCTTAAAAAACAAAAAGAAATTAAGTGTCTACATGGTCTCATTCAATGCACTATGATACACTGTTATTTATTTTGATGTTCAAATTGTTCTATAATTGGTCAGGGAAGCCCCTCCAAGCTGGCACCTATGTACTTTTGCTTTATGCACGGGCTTTTCTTTATTTTTCAATATTTATTTAATTGACAAATAAAAATTATATATTTATGGTGTTTTATATGTATATGTACACACATACATATCTATATAAAGTTCTGTGTGCTTCACAGTCGGGCTGTGGAATGGCAAGCTACACACACACACACACACACACACACACATAATCATTGTGGAATGGATAAATCAAGCTAATTAATTACCTCACATACATTTTTTGTTGTAATTGAAAACATTTAAAATTTACTCAGTGATTTTTAAGCATACAATACACTGCTAATAACCATAGTCATTATTTTGTACAATAGAACTCTTGAACTTGTTCTTCCTGCCCATCAGTTTCTTTTTTTTTTTTTTATTTTTTATTGTGGGTTGTTCAAAACATTACAAATTTCTTGACATATCATATTCCACACTTTGATTCAAGTGGGTTATGAACTCCCACCTTCACCCCATACACAGATTGCAGAATCACATCAGTTACACATCTGCCCATCAGTTTCTGAGCACCGTTTTTTTTTTTTTTCTTTTCTTTTTATTTACTTTGTACACCAAGATGGTACAGGCTTTTGTACTTCCTCTACCCACCCTTGGAATCAGCCATTTCTCCAAATTTATTTTAGTCGTAAATAGTATTTAAAGCTAGGATCTGAGCCATAGATGAACTTATTACTTATGAGGTGTCATTACTGATAAATTTTTGTAGAGCTAGCAAATTTATACAAAAAGTATGTGCCAATTATATGAAATAATCAATACTTCTAATCTAGTCCCACAATACCTCATCCCAGTTCCCCCATTACAATTCCTTTCCCATCTCCCGCATTGAGTACTCTGGTTCCCATGTGTCATCGATTATATTTTTACTCATTAGCTGAATCTTATATGCAAATAATCTTTGAAAGTGCCTCTTAAAGAAAACTATATACACACACCTGCATAGGCAAATGTACTCCTACCTCTTGTTCCCCCTCCGCGGCTCTGAGCCTTTAGGCTTTGCTCACATTTTAGTCGGTGCATATTTGTTGGCTATAGAGGAAGCCAGAGAGCAAAGGAGTAACCAGCATTCCCAGGAAGCGTCCCAGGCCTGGTCTTGCAACCGGGGGAGAGCCTCACCACAGACCTAAGTCGGTATCCAAGGGATCATAAGGCTGTAACAGGCAGTCCAAGTCGTTCTCTTCTGGGATGCACGTCCCTCTAGCCGGCCAAGAGCAGATGGTTAGTGGATCAGGGTGTTCTCCACCATCGTGGGCCCTGGGCCTGAAATATGCGCAGAGAGCCCCTGAGAAGGTGTCTGTGAAGGTGAAGATATGGGAGCCATCCGACACGTTAAAGAAGGACAGCTTTCCCGCCTCACAGTCCAGGAAGATGCCCACGCGCCGCGGAGGCACGCGCAGAGTGAGCGCTACACGGTGTGGGTCCAGGACGAAGTACTCGCAGCTGTTCCACAGCCCCATCACCCAGTAGCCACCAGCCGGGCTCAGGCGCGCGGGTCCTGAGCGTTGCACAGTTGCCAGACAGGCGCCCAGGAACCAGCGGCTCCTTCGGCCCACGTGCACTTCCCAGTAGTGGCAGCCTGTGGAGAAGCGCTCCCGGCTCAGGACGCATGTTTGCTCAGTGAACCTTTGCGGACAACCATCTGCAAGAATCGGTACCGCTGGGCGAGAAGAAACGCTTTTGGCATCCTTAGAAACCTCCAGGCTGGGGTGCGCTGTGGTTGCATCCAAGGTCACGTCCACTGCTCAAAAGCACAGGGTTAGTGCCAGCTGAGGATGGTTCTTGGACCCTTCTGTTCCCTCCCCCATAGGCAAATCTAGTTTCTCCTGGTAGAACAATAAGTGGAATCATCACCCCATCCCATGCTGGCAACCCCACCCAACTCTTTGCCTGGCTCCCAAAGTGGCATTGCAAATTACTCCTGAATATTGCAGTTTTCCTTCCTTCCTCCCTCCCTCCCTCCCTCCCTTCCTTCTTTCCTTCCTTCCTTCCTTCCTTCCTTTCCTGAACTCTAAGCTTCCTAAATTCTATAATTCGTGCTGTGGAGAGAAGTGACAGCAAATGAGGTAGGTTCATGAGGATGGAGCCAAGTCCTGGTAAAGGGGAAGGAGCTATTGTCTAGTTCTGTTCCCAGCTGGTGCACCAACCTTTGTGACCTTGAGATCATCATGTGAGCTCCAGGCTTTAGTTTTAGAATTCCAGAATTTTAAAACTGAAGGGAACCTCTGAGATATAGTCTAGTCCAGTGATCTGCCCTCCAACATCCACCCTCCAAAACTTACCTATTGGATGTATGGGAACCCAAATATCTTTTATGAGATGATCTGAGAGATTCCTTTAATACTCTGTGTTCTTCTGCCAATAGTTCCAAGAAACAGCCTATAACCCATTAGGAAATGAACCTAGTAAAACCTAGAAAGCTATGCGTGTGGGGGAGCATGTTTGTGCATGCATAGTGCCAGTGTGTCACATTATATGTGTACAAATGTGCCTGTATGTTTCTGTGTTCTGGCTCTGTATTTGGCTCCTGAAAAGACCCTTCCTCTAAAGATCTTTCGTCTTTTCTATTTAATATTCAGCCAAACCAAGTCAGTTTTTCAGCTCACCTGCATATTGTTGTGCTGCTCTCCACTCTGAAACCAAACAGAAGGGAAAGAGCTGAGTTAATAACTGGGGAATCTTGAGGGAGGCTCAAAATGCAGGAGGGGTGCCCATGAATCAAATAACCTCACCCCCACAGCTGGTTTGGCTCCAGACATGTCTGGGTCCACCATGATATTTTCCTTGGAATTTGGGGTTGGGTTGGGGGCTGTGGTTGTACCAAAGCTGTGTGCAGGCTGAAGTTGTGCTGGAAAAAGACCCAGTACAAGCAGTCTGGATGTCTTCAGCGATGGATGAATCTTTAAACTCTGACCTGAAAAGTTCAGCATGGTTCCTGTCCTAAAACATTCTCTAAACACCTGTCTTTCCTCAGTAGACCTTTTTTTTTTCTTTTTTCTTTCTTTTTTTTCTTTTGGTACTGGGGATTTACTACTGAGCTACATCCCAAGACCCTTTATTTTTATTTTTATTTTTTAAATTTTGACACACGGTCTCACTAAGTTGCTTAGAGCCCCGCTAAGTTGCTGAGGCTGACTTTGAACTCACTATCCTCTTGCTTTAGCCTCCTGAATTGCTGGGATTACAAGTGTATACCACTTAGACCTCCTTTCTTAATGTGAGCCATACTAAGTAGATTTCTGTTTTGCAACAAAGATTTGACTAAAATCAATAGACAACATTTTCAGTGTTCCAAACATTATATCGGGTTTTGTATAACTACTAGAACTTTAAAAACACAAACCTGTTGGGTAGAATAACTCAAGTCTATAAAATATTGTTCAAAGCAATCCCAAGCAAATAAATTTTTGGATATTTTTAGGAACTTCATAAATTTATCTATAATTTATATTTTTAAAGGCCCATTAACTTTAAACAGGAAGTAGAAAACTGAACTCAAATTCTATGCATGTATGAGTTTGTCAGGATGAACCCAACTACTATAGAGCTCTAATAAATTTTTTTTTTAAAAGTTAAAAAGAAAGTAAAAAGGGGAAAGGAGAAATTGTACTTTCAGTTGCTATAATAGCCATAGCAGTAGCCTGGCACAGTGGTACTTGTAATCCCAGCTAGTCAGGAAACTGAGGTAGGAAGAATCAGAAGCTCCAGGCAAGCCTGAGCAATTTAGTGAGATTCTGATAAATTTTTTTAAAAAGGGCTGTGGATGTAGCTCAGTGGTAAAGTGCTTATCTAGCATGTTTAAGGCCCTGGGGCCAAATCCCTAGCATAAAGAAAGCCATAGCAATAAAAAGAATGATGTGATAAGTGGTCCAATATACAGTCCCATCTAGACATGTCAGTGGAATATGCACTAAAGATGATACCTCACATCAGTGGGGAAATTATGGATAGTGTACTAGATGGCATTGGAAAAACTGTATATACAGAAGAATCACTGTATTCTCACCTAACACCCAGAAAATGGTGGATTCTAGGATTAAAAACCTACATATAACACATATTACTATAGTATGGATTTGAAATGTTTCCCAAAAACCATGTGTTAAAGGCTTGGTCCTCAGCTTGGAACTACTGAGAGGTGATGGAACCTTTAAAGGGGGGTGGCTATTTGGAGTTCTTCTGAATAAGACTATAGATGCCACTTATATAACTAAAATGCATATGGCAAAATAGAAACATTCATAATTTTGGATAGGGCAAAGGGGAGGGAGGGGAAGGGAGGGGGCATGGGGGTAGGAAAGATGGTAGAATGAGACAGACATCATTACCCTAGGTACATGTATGAAGACACAAATGGTGTGACTCTATTTTGTGTACAACCAGGGAAATAAAAAATTGTGCTCCATTTGTGTATTATGAACTGTAATACATTCTGCTATCATGTATAACAAATTAGAACAAACAAATAAATAAGAAACATTTGTAAGATTACATATAAAATAAAGACATACTGTTTGAGTAATGGGGGGGGGTGGAATTGGGAGGTATGGAGAGAAATAAATACATGGTAACATGCCCACTCTAGACCCACAAGGCAGTCTTTGCAGGTGGGCACCGGGAGTGTAGGTAATGTCATAAGCTACTAGGGTTGGAACCAATGGTTTCCAATATATTAAGGTCCTATAACAATATAAAAATAAATATGAAAGTAAAATTTGAGTATAACTTCTAACAAGTGACATGAGATTATGGAATGAAAATAGAATGAATCATCGTAGGTTAATCAGAGTGAGTGATCAAGATTCTGCAATGTAGATTTATGATGTAAGTCCCTGATTTATGGTGGCTTGACTTATGATTTTTGGACTTTACAATGAAGCAAAAGTCATACACATTTAGTAGAAACCATACTTCAAATTTTTTATTTTGACCTTTTCCCAGGCTAGTGACAATACCTGTTACTATACTCTCCTCAGATGCTGGGTAGCTATAGCCATTACTGGTACTTTACAGAATGCTGTATTGCTAAGCTATGAGTTAGGCAGGTTAGGCATATTAAGTGCATTTTTTTACTTGCAGTATTTTCAACTTATGATGGGTTTAATTGGGATATAAATTGGGGAACACATTGAAAACTGTGGGAGAGAAATGATCTTCACTTACCAGCCTGACCTTCAGTCCTTCTCCAGTCTAAAACAGCAGAGGGAAATGGAATTAGAATATCAGGACACCACAGCTTCCCTGATCACATTAGAGTTTGTACACAACTTTCCCTCTCTCTGCCTTTTTCCTCTTTCTCCTGCCACCCACACAGCCAGCATTATTCCAGTCTAGGCATTATACCTCTGGTTGGGAGATGAGACAATCACCACTTACAAAAATGTGGACAGCAAGGAATAATTTCAATAGGGATCACTTACCAAGCTCTGTTTGAAGCTTCTCTGAAAGCAGAACACAGAAAATATCAATCTTTAGATGAATGGAACCACCTTCCCAAAACATGTCATTGGGAAGAGGTTCCTTAAACTACTGCCAACCTTAACCCCACCCTTGCCTCTGCATTGCCCTATAAAAGGCCACCCATCTGCAGATTCTGATGCCTCATCCTATTTACTTTAATGGCAGCTTAGCACCCACAGGCAGCCTGTCCTTTCAGCTTGTTTGGAAGAGAAGAGGTGCAGAAGTAAGGATTTAGAATAAGATTGGTGCCATCTATCTCTCCCCAAAGGCAGATGAAAAACACTGAACTCCTCCTTCCATTCTAGATGTCCCCTGGCAGCCAGCACTGTTGGTGAAGCAACCTGAACTTACTCAGCTGTGCAGTCAGTTTTCCTGCAGAAGAAAGGAAAGGAGGGAAAATTTTCAAGTTGGGGAATGAGTTCAATAAGACAGATCTATGAATGGTGAGGCTTCATTCTCCACAGAGTTCACAGACTTGCCCCCCTGCATCTAGGATGGGACTCTGGGCCAGAAGCAATTCGGCTCTGGGGAAGTTAAGGGTAAAAACAAACCTCTGTCCCACCTAACCTAACTCAGCCCTGCTCCTAACTCCACCCTCCGCCCTAATCTGGGGTCCTTGCCTTTTGACCCAGCGCCCTCTGTTGGTCAGGGATGTTGGACACAGAGCGCCTCTGGGGCAGCTTACCTTGTTCCTTCTTTGTCTGTTTCTTTAGCTTTTCTGAAGGGAAGAAAGAGAGAAGCCTTAATATGTGCCCTCCTCTGCCTGTTTCCAGGTCCTGTTTCTGCCTGAATAGGATGGTGCCTCTGTAAGCCACCCTGGGTCCCCTTCCTTCCCGTGGGTCCTTGGACGCTGCTACCAGCACTTTCCTCCTAGGCCAAGCCAGCTGTAGGAGGGTGGTTCTCTGGCCTGCCTCATACCTTGAGACTGCTGTTGCTTGTGCAAGTAGTACAATGCCAGCATCGCGAGGAGGGCCAGGAGTAGCGGCAGTGCCACCAGGGTCCCTAAGAAAGCACTCTTCCAAGGGGAAGTTCCGGGAAGAAATACATCTGGAAAACACCCCGCACAGATTGTCTTGATTTAGGCTACTACTGAGAGAGACAATTAGGACCTCGTGGGCTGGAAAATCTTCACAGTGGTCTTCAGTTGACCCGTTACACATTCTGGCCACCCTAGAGTCAAGTTAAAATGGGTGTGATAGGAGCCACCCTGGATCTCTCGGTAGGTTCAGGTGGAAAGGTGTTGGACTTGAACTTGTCCACCAGAATGAGAAAGTGCTGCACATTGAAGTGAAAAGAGATGCACTGGGCAGGCATGGTGGTGGAGTCCTGTAATCTTGGCTAGGGAGGCTGAGGCAGCAGGTTCTCAAGTTTAAAGCCAGCCTCAGCAATTTAGCCAGGCCCTAAGCAACTTAGTGAGACCCTGTCACAAAATAAAAAATAAAAAGTCTGGGGATATGATTTAGTGTTTAAGTACCCCTGGGTTCAATCCCCAGTACAAAAAAAAAAAAAGAGATGAGAGCCAGCGAGAGTGATGCACTGGTATGCCTGTCCCTTCTGCTCCTGCTTAGAACTTCTATGACCACAGCTGTGACCTTCCACCACTTCTTACTCTTGCCTTTCATCTGGAGGAATTGAGAATTCAAGGTGTTTTATGCTTATATCTGAAACCTGGTTCTCTGTCAAATTCACAAATAGTCTCTCTGCCTAGTTGCAAACAATTGCCTCTTACATCTGTTGTCATCATACCTTTGGAAGAATTGCTAAAAAAAGTTGGTAACCTGCTGACTGTCAGCTCCCCAGGCTCCCCAGGAAGATCTGCCCCCATGAAGGATGTGGCCAAGAGTCACAGTGACTGTAGATGTCACTTGTATAACTAATAACTTATATAACCATGGCCAGATGATCAAGAGATGATTCAACTTTCATCAAAAAGTCAATGAATGATCCTCAGCACCACATAAAAATAAATTAAAAAGATATTTTTAAAAAGTCAATGAATGAATCAATGATGACATTTTAATGCATATATTGATTACTATTAAGTGTATGCACACAATTGTTTCTAGAAATACTGTAAATTGTAATTAAATATTTTAATGCTGTATTATCTATGATGGCAAAATTATTAACAGGAAAATATACATTATATGCATATACATACTTACATAAATAAAATTTTTAAGAAGATTATAAAATATTTGTAACCTCTTGGGGGAAACTGCTTTCTTGGCATTCAGGATACGAGAAAGACCTATTTTAAACTACTTGCTTTAGTATTACTTAAAAATGTATTATAATCATGTACAATAAAAAAATTTTAAAACACTTAAAAAAAGAGATGAATGCAAAAGTGAAGAGCAATCCTTTAGAAACTCTTATGGCAATTTAATAATTTGTGTCTATTGAATTTATTTAAAAAGGATGCTTTTATCTCACAGGTCTTTTTGAAAACATCTTTATCTTAAAAAAAAACCTGTGATTAAATATAAAACAAAAAATCTATCCCCCACCCTGGTGCTGGGGATTGAACACAGACATGCTAGTGCATTCTCAGCCAGGCCTCAGTACCATTGTGTTCTCAGTATCAATGTGTCCTGTGGGTCAACTGACATAGAGAACATGATGATTAGGAAGAGAAGGATGAGCCAGCACCTACTGACCTGCTATCTGGACCACAAACTCTTTCTTCTGGATCAGCAGAGGGCTCTGGATGGAGCAGGACATGTTGCGATGGGCTTCACCTTGGACAACTACAGATGTTTCCAGATTGAACAGGCCCTTGACATCTTGGGTAATGACTTCAGACTCCAGTGGCAGGCACTGTCCCTGGTGATCTCTCCACTGAACTTTGGGTTTGGGGTACCAGCCATTGGAGGTGCATCTCATCTGAATGCCTCCTTCCTTAAAGCCTTCAATGTAGATATGTGGATCTGAGCCCAGCCCTGGGAGAGGCAGAAGGAGTGAGAATGATCAGTCAGGCACCTTCCCAGTAGCTGTGTGGGACGTTCATGCAACAGTTGCAATCTCCATAAGACACCAGGAGCAGAGACTGTTTTTAATGTTTGTGGGCTTTTGTAGCAATCATCCCATCCTCCATGGATTGCAAATTACAGTCTAGATTGGCAGTGGCATGTGGGGACAGTAATACCTTGAAGGACATTTGGAATGGAGAAAGCCTTAGTTGTGTTATTCAAGGAACAGTCCTTCTAGAATAAAGAATTTTTCTACCCCAAATTCCAATAGGTTGTCCTCTGTCTTGATTCTCTAAAGCGCAAATGCTTGTGTTATATGTGCTATTCTTGTTAGCCCTATTCTTGTAGAAACAGAACCACCATCACACCACCCCACACCACCCTGCGGTCACTCATCTTGTAGTGTTAGCATTGAACCCAGGGCCTTGCACATGCTTGGCAAGTGCTCTACTCCAGAGCTGTATCCCTAGCCTCTTCCTTTGTTTCCTTTTGCAATGTTCCTCCTTCTTCTTTTCCTATACACAAAACCACACATTATCCAACTTTCTTATCATTTTGATTTTTTTCTCTTAATACATCCAAGAAATTCCTCCACACTCATTCATAGAGATCCTCATTTTTTTCTAGCAGCAGAGTGTGTATCATTACATTGTGTGTGAACCATGCTCATCTTCTATGTGTGGACATTTAGGCATTTTCCACTATTTTGCAATTACAAAAATTACTACAAAGATTAGCATAAATGAATGCCTTTTTCATATTGAAAGTGTTGGTGATATATCTTTAGGTTAAACTCCTGGAGGTGGGACTGCAGTGTCTAAGGACAGATGTACAGGAAGTCCTGTTATTTATTGCCAAATTCCTCTGTCCTCAAGCTCCTGGACTTGGAATTCCACTAACAAAACAGCAGAAGCCCTGCCCCCCAAAAGCTCCACCAAGAATGTGTGGTCAAACTTTTGAATTTTTGTCACCTTGTAAGATTAAAAGATTACATCTTTATATAACTTTAATTTACCTTTCTCTCATTTAAAGTAAAAATGATAACCTTTTCATATGTTAAGGATCACTGTTGTGTGTGTGTGTGTGTGTGTGTGTGTGTGAGAGAGAGAGAGAGAGAGAGAGAGAGAGAGAGAGAGAGACTGTTTGCTTCTCTTGTCCATTTGCAAATGGACCTATCCTTTGTTTAAAAAAAAAAATCACCCCCTCCAACAAATTAGGAATTTTCACTGATAGTGTATTTACTTGAGCAAAGCCGCCCTATCTAAATTGATCATTTTGTCCTCTGTCCCTGCTGGTGCTTGGCCACAGCACGAACCTGCTACCTCCAGCTCCCAGATGGCTTCACCAGAGAAGTTGTTGGAGAGAAAGCTGCATCCATACAGGCCCTCGTCTGATGGAACGACGCTGCGGAGCAGCAAGACGACTTTGCCAGAGCTGATCTCCGTCGTGACGAGTTTGGTCCTGTTTTGGAACTGCGCCATCTGTCTGTCGAAGAGCTCCTGCCGCCCCTTGTACAGGTGCACTACATCCGAGGGCTGGCTCTGGAACCAGTGGATCTCCATGTCTTCAGCGTCCAGGAGTGGTGACAATTGGCACGGGAAATCCACCTCTTCCCCGACAATGGCCAGTATGGATTCCCCAGGGCCTATCACCTTGACCTCCTCTAGGATGACAAGCCAGAGTAATGACCCAAATCAATCTTCAAATATAATTATATCACTTTGCAGTTTAGAAATCTGTAATAGACTATTCAAATGATAAAGATGAGACCCTCTATGAAGAAAATCCACCCGGTTTATTGAACAAGTAACTGATATGGAAAAAAAAAATGAGTGCACAGGCTAAATCACATAAGGAACATGACAACCAGAGACAATGTGTGGTGCTGGACTGTTTATAGGTTTGAACCAACCAGGTATAGATGTTATCTGGGGGAATATGTAAATCTGGCCAGGGAATTAAGTGAAATGCAATGCTAGGCTAAGAAAAAGAAAGTTTCAAAACCAATATGAAAACTATTCTACGATCTTGGGTAGAAAATTAATATTTACATAACTGTTCAGAAAAAAAGATTGAAAAGGAGAGACACCAAATTGTTGTGGTGGTAATTTCTGCATAATAGGACTATTTACTTATTTCCATTTGTCAGCTTTTACAATTAAAAATATACCATGCACATATAGCTCTTCTAAAAACAAAAATATTTAAAATAACCTGTGAGGGCTTCCTGATCCATGGATTTTCATAAAGACTACCCATTTTATTTTCAGAATAAGTCTTACATATGAGTTTATTAAATACATGCATATGGAGATATAGGTGCCATGAGTCATATAGCTTGAATACATGGAAAATTAACTTTTTGAGTAACAGAATATGAAGAATATATGAATACACAATTTTTTTGGTCGCAGAAGACTCTTTATCCTAAGGCTATATTCCCTATGTAGTATTGGACTCAGAATTAACTCTGGGGAAGAGGAACAAATATTTTCTGGTACTTATGAATATTTCTCCATGTAACTATTATTAATAATTTTGAAAATGTCTTTTCCTATTACTGTCATTGACAAACTCTAGAAAGTCTACAGTATAGGAAAACTCATAATTTGACAGAATCTAACAAAGCAAGGCAATTGGTTTTAGGAAAAAAACATTAAAACAATTGATAATGAATAGAAGACCTTTAATATGAGTTCTTTAGTCATTGTATGGCAGAAAATTTCCCCATGAACTGGCTGCTGAAGAATCCTTCTTTAATAGTTCTCTTTTTCTTCTCAGAAATTGTATCCCTCCAACGACAAATGACATTTAATCTATCATACATAAAATTTTTCATAATAAAATAATTTAAATATATACTTTCCTATTCAAAAGAATGTGTCTATTACCACCAAATAATTCCAACTTCAGAAATAAAACATCCACTTTTAAATTGAAATTTGTTTCTATCATATTAACTAGAATTATTAAATATATCTACAAACATAGATAAGCAGATAATGTAATGAATCTAAAATTCTAAAGAACTGTAATGTTGTGGTATTATCAGAAGCTCAGCATATTTATTACTGAACTCATGTTTTGTTGTCTGTCTTAACAGTGTTTCTCTGTTATATGGCATTTATTTTAGGTAGTAACATACATAGGCCAGTAACATACATAGGCCCTAAGTTCATGCTTGGGTCCTCCACATAGACTCTCGCAAATCTATTATAACAGTTTTCCAAAACTTTAGTGTGTACTTACCTTTCAATAAGTAGTTCTTTTTCCTTTTTTCATTATTTCAATATTGACCCTCATCACAGAAGTACAAGGGATAATTGCAATTGCCATAATTCTTCCTCCTTTGTCTTTTTAATGCCTCTTTAAGATACAATTTATTATTTTTTTGTACTGATGTTAAGTATTTCACAAACTTTCTCAGAAGTCGTCAGTGAATATTTATCAAAAGTCTCAACTTTTCCTTTTGTAAGTCTCTCAGGAATTACCATCAAGGAGCATGTGTTTTGTGTGGTTCCCCCCCCCCCCCCCCGCATTAATAAGCCTTTTTATTGTTGTCTTTTGTTTTTTTTAATTGAAGGTCCCTTACTGGTCCTGCTTCCATGAATGGTCATACCAAGAGAATAGGGAGGGGAACCAGGTGGCCCAGGGAGGGATCATCTCCACAATATTCCATTTATACACAGAACTAAATAGACAAGCACAGAGTCACTATTGTGGTTAGAAGTTGGCAGCATGGGATGGGGAGGAATAGGTAGGAAATAGGGATGTCATTAGAAAAACTACAGCCCCGCCCCCAAACTGGGAGAAGACTTGGCCTGTTTCAACCCAAGAGGAATAGAAAATCAAAAGCAATTTGGGAAGGCCAGAACCTTCAGGGATAGAGGGAAGAAGAAGGTCCAGGGGGAAGATCACCCAAATTTTGCTGTTGAGACTTAATTTATCATGATCTTTCATTTGATCATTCTCTTCCTCCATGGTGTCTTCATGTGGTCACTCTGCTCCCCCAAACTCATATATTTCCTTCTTTCCAAGTTCAGTTAAAACCTCTGTCCAAAGTCCAATCACTCTTGATTCCTTTCCATCCTTCACTTTGCCCATAGACTATGGATACATCTTTCTTTCTGTAATTTGAGATTCTTGTTGCCTCCTGAGTGAATCGCCAGCACCAACCTGGCAGCTTTCTTCTCCAGGGTCTCCTAACTATCTCACCAAACATTCAATGTTTGGTTTTCTTCCCTGCCTCAGTTTACCCTCCATCTTCATTTTCCTGGAGAATGTACACCCTGAGTGGCACTGCACAAACAGTACCTCCTCTCTGTGCCTCTCCTTGCTTCTTGGGGAAAGAGAATTGCTCTTAGTTGTGCTTAGCTGTCACCCCAAAGTCTTTGGACATGGTTTTCTTGCAGTTGTTTATGTCACATACATTCTGCTCCATTGATCATGAGCTGCTTAAGGATCTGACCCTGGTTCCCAGACAAAGATATTAGGAAATTTCATTTGCATAATTAATTTGCACTTTCTTTCTTCTTCTCCTTCACCAGAGATCAAACCCAGGATGCTTAACCACCAAGCCACACCTTGAGCCCTTTTTTAATGTTTTATTATGAGACAGGACCTCACTAAGTTTCTGAAACTGGCTTTGAACTTTTGATTCTCCTGCCTCCTGAGCCACTGGGATTCAAATGTGTACCACTGCACCTGGCTGATTGCTTCTTTTGTGAGATGGTAGAATTGGGAGAAATTTTCCCTGTTCTTCAAAAGCTCGGCAAGTAATGGAGTTAAAAATATTTACTAACTGGTTAAGCATAAACACAGATCAAGAAGAGTTTCCTAGCACCTTCCTGCCTTGTTTTTTGCATGCCCAACTTCAGGGTCCTAGGAAGTGTAAGAGGGGTCCTAGGGGCTGGCAAAATGGTGGAGAGGCATGAAGTGGCTGAATGGTGCCCAGGGGAAGCGGCTCTTTAAAAACTGGGATGGGAATCTCTTTGTATTTTAGCAAGTGGCAATGACTGGTCCTGTTTTATAAGATCTCAGCCCTGGAAGCACTTGGCACAAGGGGTAGGCAGAGCTGAGGTGCTCATGTCCTGGTTGGATGAGCTACAGGGTGAAGCAGGTCAGAAGAATTACCTGAATTTGCCTCCTCATGCTGAAGGAAAAGGAGAAGGTAGGTGAGGAAGAAGAGATTGCTGGGCAGAGGTACTTGCTTCAAAAAATCCACGGATACTGGGAAATCCTCCATTAGCAGTAAGGGCCACCTGGAGAGAGACAAAGGGGTGACACATGACAGCTTGACTTGGCCCATAAGGCCTGTGATCTGTTGTTGCTTCAATTATTATTATTATTATTATTATTATTATTATTATTATTGTTGTTGTTGTTGTCAAATACAATTCTTGAGTTTCTTACAAATGTGCCAGTACCTGGCTTTTTTTAAACCAGGACCGGATGTGAGATCTGCTTCTATTTTTACCAAGCAACATTGTTAATAGCATCATTGGCCTTGCTCTACCTTACACAGCTTCAAGAGGACAGGCCTGAGCATCCCAGAGGAAGCAGCTCCTGAGCTAATATTGTTCAGAGCCAGGAATAGAGCCATACATTGTGTGGGGGCTCAGCACCACCCTCCTCTGGAGTTAGTGGAGTTCCCCAAACAAAGGGAAATCTCTGAAGAATCTGATTCTTTTATTCTCCTTTCCTCACCACCACAAGCCCGAGCTTGTTTTCACTTCTATTTGTCCTAGAACATCAGGTCCACAAAACAGAGGAAAAAACATAGTTCTACTCTTTTTTTTTTTTTCAAAATGAAGTATGCTCCTGGTGGCTGCCTGCCAACTCTAGTAACATTCTGGGAAATGTCTGTCCAGACCTGAGATCTCAGGTGGTGCTTCCAGGGGGTCAACTGGCCACTGTTCCTGTGTTTGTAGAATCTTTGAGGCCTCAGTGATGGAGTCATTCCATCTAGACATCCCTTCTTCCACCTCTGGTCCAGGAGAACCAATCCCAGCTCAGACAAGGGCTGACCCCTTTTACTCTAGTGTCCCCTTGGGCCTATAGTAGCATCTCAGAGTCTGATGGCCGATGAGCATCTTTGAATTCATACAAGCCTCTCCATATTTCTCCTTCATTTAGTTGTAGGATCTTAGGCAGTTTTTGTCACTGGATGAACCTCAATCTTTGCTTGAACAATGGGAGAAACCACTTCCATCTCTTCCAGAGACTGCCTCTCTCTCTTTTCACTCCTCTCTCTCTTTTCACCCTCAGAGGGGGAGAGTCTACAGTGAGTTTCCACTCTCCAGTTCTCCTGAGTTCCCTCCTCTTGCCTTCTGCCTTCATATTCCTCACTATTTGGTTTTCCTTCTGCAGACTTTTGGCATGGTATGTGCTTCCAGCATCCTGCGGCTTTAGTGCCTCAGCCACACTGTCAGCAATACCACAGGCAAGGTGTTGATGGAGGAATTTAAAGGCCACTGGGTCATGCAACAGAAGAGCAGTCAAAGAGTATTATTACTACTATTACTAATAAGTCTAAATTACAGATAAGAACCGAGTAGCTAAGGGACTTGCCCCTGCACACACTGAGCTGGGAAGGACTCAACGCTGACAGGAATACAATGGGAGGAAGAAGCAATGGCCTGAGAAGTGAGTGGGCCAGGTAATGGTGGTCCCAGAGCTCAAACGTGGTAGGAAAAAGCAGGGGGACAAGTCAGCATGGCTTCATTTTTATGCCTCAGATTCCTCGAAGGGAGACATCAGCATCCCCTCTGGAAGGGGCCAGGCTGTTTTAATAGCCAGTAATTATTGGAATAATTTTTTACACAATAATTATCACAAACTGAGGCCTTAGGCGGGGTCAAAGCTCCGGCAGGACAGTCTGATCTCTTGCCTTTTGTAGCAGATGGCAGGAAAGTCTCTGTGACAGGCCTGGAAATGAGGAGTGAAGGAGTAGAGTCCACACTGGCTTTGAATTTCCTCATCCTCTTCTTTATTCTCCTTTCTTCCCTTTTGTGCCTCTATCTTTTCTTTGGGGCTCTAGATACAGATTAGAGCTGCATGGGGACAGAGCCATGAGGAGCATATCAGTGAGCAAGCTAATGCCTTCTAAAAGAAGAGGAGCTCAGACTATGTTTAGAGACCCATTTGTATGAGCCAGATTCTGAGAAATTAGTCATGACATGTATTAGGTGGTAACATCCATCCTCCCATGAGGAGGTGATAGTAATAAGAGCTGGGAGCAGGATGGTCTCTCAGAATGAGCACCTGCTCTAATTACCCTAGACAGGGGGATGCTGCCATTTCCCAACGGGGCAAGAGATTGGGGCAGTGTGCTCCAGAACTGTGGCATTGTTAGAGGATTGCAGTTCTCTGTTGTGATATACCCATGTGCTTCTCATCACTGAGGCTACAGGAGAGGCCGTTGTAAACACATATAAGCACACAAGCACGTGCATGAGCCCACAGTAATAAAAACTGATACTTATTATCTATCAAGCATTCACCTGTACCATGAATATTATTACTACTATTATTAATAAGTCTAAATTACAGATAAGAACTGAGTGGCTAAGGGACTTGCCCCTGCACACACTGGTAGTGAGTAGTGTAGTAAGGTTTCCTTCACCTGAGCTGTCTGGTTCCAGAGCCTTACTCTGTGCTTCTGTCCATACAGATTCCTTGCCAGTTGTGTTGTGTGTCAGGTCACCCTCAGCCACTCCTGCAACCCAAGACCATTATTGCTGTAAGGAACTACCCAAACTTTTACTCAGATCAGCTATCTCACAAATGTTCCAAAGAAGAGACTGGGTCACAAGGTGTCAGCCACAAAACCAAGCAAGTGAAAATCAATGAATACAAATTTAAAAATCCCACTGCCAAATAAAACAGCTTAAGCCAGAGCCTCCTTAACAGTGTCAACAGCATCTGCTTAGGCAGGAGGCATAGGTGCCAGTCCTATTATTAAATACTAAAGGACATTACCTTGAAAGATTTTAATTGGAGGAAATGTTTGGCAATTTCCTGAAGGGAAGAGTCAGTGAATTCAGAGGGGTCCAAAACAGTAGTACTCTTCCCCACTTGGCTGCCTGAAGTTTGCCCTTTCTAACCTTACTCTCCAGTTTAAAGACTCTGGTCCTTATTGAAATACACATACTATAAGGCACAGTCAAATGAATTTTAGATTCTGGTTCTGGTGAAGAGGTTTTGATGAGGGGAAGGAATAAGAGGCTGAACATGCTGGAAGAACACAGTGAGAAGAAGGATGGCCAAAAAGGGGGCCTCAGACTGGGCTCTGCCATGTTTGTGGGGTCCATTTCCCCTGTTCTCTTGGGAACCTGTGGGTCATTTCCTTCTGAAGACACAAAGAGTAATAAGATCTCGTGCACACTGAAATACTGCCACCCTCCACCCAGGGGGAGTCCATTTCTCTCCTTCCCCCTTTCTCTTTCTTCTCTCTTTTTCCTTCTCCCTCTTTCCTTTCCCCCAGCCCAGCCCTATGCCTATTCTTTCCTCCTGAATTTCCAATTCCTAAACAAAATCCTGTGATCTCTTGACTTGCAGTCCCTTAGCACTTGAGTCTTTCTTTATATTACTTATGTTTTGCTTTGCTGCTTTTGCAAATTGTTTTACAGGTGTGCATTCTGCCTTCCTCTTATCCCCATGTCCTAAGCCGTGTCTATTCTCCCACCTTCTCCCTCAAGCACCCAGTGGGATGTTTTGCCCTCAGCAGCCACCAGTAATTGCTCACTGGCCTGACTGGTTTGATTTCAATAGACCCACAAAAGGATTTCCACCCTTTTTAAGGGAAATGGATCACCTCAATAAGGGGGCCTCAATGAGGTTTCAAATCCTTTTCTTCTGGGGGAAATGGGATGTATCAAAACCCTGCCTTCTCAGGGGGGCCTGCCTGAATGGGCACCCCTTAGCCACACTTGAAACTCCCATCCTGCCTACAGGCACAGCTAAGAGGATACCCACCATGGTATGCTCTTCCCAGCACCAGAACCTTCCACCATAGTTTTCTGCTCTTCATTTCTGAAAGGTGGAGGTTTAGACAGGTGTTGAAAGTCAACCACATACCTTTCAGGTAGCAGCAAAGCGTCCAAAATGGCTAAGTCCCAGCAATCTCACGTTCCTCTGCAAAGTGAGACAATTGTTGTGAAGTGTCTTAGTCCTTTTTAGATAGAGGCTGGCAGCTGAGTTCAGGGGGACAGCTCATTTGTGACAGAATTATTCACCCACCTCCCACCTTAGGACATGTGCTGTTGGCTCTGCTCTTGGCTATAAAAATCAAGATAGATAGAACAAAACGAGGAAGTCTCTGTCATATCCTGTCTCTGTGAGGAAAATCGCAAATTAAAATTCCCATGGAAAATGTCTCCCGCCCCCAAGGGTCTTAGAAGCAGGGTAAAGGTATCTGAGAACTTTGTAGAACAGACTGCAAGTTGCAGAGGCTCAGAGCAGGGAAAGAATTTTCCAACTGGTTGCATGGGATCTCTAGCAGTTTGAGCTGGGTTTCAGGCAGGAAGGGTGCATCCCTGGCCAGCCTCTCTCTTCTTACAGTCACAGTGAAAGCAATGAGACTAGATTGCAATATTCACAAAAGGTTGGGAAGGTGCTAGTGTTCAACTTGTACTGACACCACCATACCATCCTCTCCAGGAAAAAATCAGTAAAGAAATAACCTGGAAGTTTTGCCATCAGCAAAATTTGCAAGAGCTGTTCACATACAATTTAGAATAGACTGGCGTGTTGAATTAGGATTTATCTAGAGAGCAAAGCTCAAAAAAGAAGTAAGTACTACTCCCTTCACTCCATCTTGCCCTAAGAAACTTTGTTATTAGTGGGAAAGAAGAGCAGAGGACCAAGCTGTAGCCACCATCCTCTCTAAGGACAGGACAGAGCTGGGCACAGGGCAGCTCAACAAGGAAGGAGCTTCCAGAAATACTCAGTGTTTGGAGACAGGCCTGTGCACAGGCCAGGGATCTGGGTGACTATGTTTAGGCAAAAACCAGTAAGCAATGCAGTGCAGACTTGAAGGTATCATATGTTTTCCACAAGCTGGTAAGGCTGGAAATTGGAACTTATACTTACACAAAGATGTGCTCAGAGCAGAAAAGAGGCCAATTGGCGAGACAAAAGAGTGCTCAGGGACAGATTAAACTTTAAGTGGCTACTGAATAAAGAGGAAGATCTGAAAAGCAATAGGAAAAAGAGGAGGGGGGGCAGGCAAAGACACTGTGAGTG